TAAAGGATTTAGAGAGATTTTTATTGTAAATCATCTTTATTTCATCTGATCACATTTGCCTTTATTCCTTTAATTTAATTTTTTTGCTTCTTATTAATTTAAATTTAATTTTTAAACACAATAAATGACGTTAGACTTATATGTGGATAAGTAAGAAAAATGCCTTATTTAGTCTGAGCTGGATCTTAATACTTAACTCTAACTCGCCATTGTTATTTTTAATTACCTTCCTGGCCATAAGCTTGTGGAACCCTGTAACTTTGTCACGCTTTACCTCTGAATTAAATGCATATTTTTTAGCTGAAAAATGTGTGAAATCTGTACTTCAAAGTCAGACAAAGACAGATAAATATGAATTAAATAAAAAATATTTTATTTTCAATTAATTACACTGGCTTAAAAAAAATTTAATTGAAAAAATTGTGGAAAACGACTACTTTGGATTAAAAATTCTCAAATTTTTAAATTTAAACTTTGAACAAAAAATCGTAGGGTTTTTTTTAGTTGACCCTTTGAACTGTCTAAAAGAAATAATACGATATGAATCACTCAAAAAAGTATAGTTATTTAAAGCATTGAAAACCAACATTTAAAAAATGTACATATCGTAATTTTACAACTAATGAATAAAATTTTAATATTTAGAACTACTTACAAAACTGCCTATCAGTAATTGCGCTTCTCTTATCCTTTGGCTTCGACAGCGCTGAAGATTATGCCGATGATTTAGAGAATGATGCAGCTCGGTCTGAATCGATAGTATATTCGGCCCGGTCGAGCGATCTCTCAAGACTGATAGATGCCATAAAGTTTCTACTACTTATTTATATATTAAAATAAATTCTTTTAATTCTACAATTTCATACTTACTTTCATTTTAACCGAAACACGATAAACGTATATTTAATAAAAAGAAATAATAATAAAGGGATTCTCAGAACGAAAACTTATGAGCTGGTCACACGCAGATTCCAGGTACCCTCTTGGAACTTTCGCACACTCTTGTGTTGAGAATAACGCAAAAAATTGTCCTTGCAGGACATTTATCGTACATATGAATAGTTAAAGGTTTTTTTCGAACCTCAATCCAAAGGTTTCAAATAGTATTATAAAAAAGTTATAGCAATATAAAAAAAAATTGCATAGGGTACTCGCATGTTGTACTCTAGGGTGGCGAGCTAGGATTAATAATATTTCGGTGTGAATTTATATGTATAACACATCCATTTCTGTAATTTTTAGATCTATCTTTGGTTATTTTTTTTATTTATGCATACATATTGTAAATTCTCTACTCTTTAGGTTGTAGAAGTGTCGAGGAATTCCAGTGTTTAAATCGAATCGAAGAAGGTACATACGGAGTCGTATATAGGGCACGTGATAAACGTACGGATGAGATAGTCGCGTTGAAACGATTAAAAATGGAAAAGGAAAAAGAAGGTTTTCCGATTACAAGCCTGAGAGAGATCAATACTTTACTGAAAGCACAACATCCCAATATTGTTACCGTACGGGAGATAGTCGTTGGCAGCAATATGGATAAGATATTTATTGTTATGGATTACGTGGAGCATGATCTGAAATCCCTGATAGAAACCATGAAGCAGAAGAAACAAGTTTTTATACCTGGTGAGTATATTCTGTTATATAATGTAGTAGGGAGGGGGGACCAATTGAAAAGTTGAGCGTAATAACAGCATAAAGATAAAAAATGAAAAACAATTTTAACAGAGATATAATTTAAAAATAACGTTTAATCATAGACTAGCAATCTAAGGTACACATTCCGTGACTGGAATGTAATAATTTTAAGTGACTGGATCCCCGGTCACCGGTGGTATATTTTTATTTGTGTTTATTATATTTATTATATATAATTAGCGCGTTTATCAAAAATAAAGAAGTTTTTTACGCTTCATAGTCGTATTATTTGCGCAACGTCTTCCGCGTTTTGACTCCTATTGCTCATGCTCTTTCCTGATTCTTTTGATTTATAAGGAGACTTTGTGGGTTTGATTTGTTATACGGATTTATTATATTTGTTATATAGCAATGTATTTTATTAAATACATTGCTATTAAAAAATTGCAAGAATATTATGAAGAAAAAGATTTACAATATATACCAATATTGCATCATAATATGTCATAATTAAGTATATAATCTACGTATGTGATGTTAGAAATTATTTTATAATTACGTTCCTTTTTATAGCCAAAATATCAAATAGAAAATTCAGCGTGGGTCATCAGTGACCCATGCGGCACGTGTTAAGGATTTGTAAATATGGAAATACACATATTTCATGAATTATTTATTACATTTTATGCTGCTAAATTTTTTACTCCTCAATTTATAACAAAATATACGAACGAAGGAAAAATCGGTATTTTTTTCTATTATAGGAGAAGTTAAATGTCTTATGCAACAATTGTTACGCGCGGTCGCACATCTACATGATAATTGGATATTACATCGCGACCTAAAGACATCCAATTTGCTATTAAGTCACAGAGGCATTTTAAAAGTCGGCGACTTTGGTTTAGCTCGAGAATATGGCTCTCCTTTGAGGCAATACACGCCAATCGTCGTAACGCTTTGGTACAGAGCCCCTGAGTTATTGTTGTGTGACAAGGAGTATCTAGGAATATATAGTACGCCTATAGATATGTGGTCCGTAGGGTAAGTGTAATTTAATATCATTTAATTTTTAAAAATTAGGAATATTAACGTATTATCAGTATGTTACATAAAATTTTAGAATATCTATAAATATAGACTATGATATTTATGATAGTACTTTCTCAGATGCATTTTCGCCGAGCTTCTAAGGATGGAACCACTGTTCCCAGGAAAATCGGATATAGATCAATTAAATAAAATATTTAAGGAGTTGGGTACACCAAGCGAGAGGATTTGGCCAGGATACGCTAAGTTACCTATAGTACAAAAAATCCCATTCGCACATTATCCTGTAAATAATCTCAGGCAAAGATTTAGTTTGTCGTTATCGGATTTAGGTATTGAGTTGCTGAACAAGTAAGTTATTCCATATGAAGAACGCATTTAATATCTGAATAAGTTTGATTAAAAGCGTAATTTTTTTTTCAAGATTTCTGACTTATGATCCTCGTCAACGTGTAACCGCCGAAGATGCCCTAAATCATGGCTACTTTACTGAAGCGCCTTTGCCAATCGATCCGCAAATGTTCCCCACATGGCCCGCCAAATCGGAACAAGGAATTAGAACCACGAACGCGTCTCCGAAGCCACCGAGCGGCGGCAGAGAATACAAACAATTAGGCGATGGTGACGACGCCGATTTGAGCAACTCTGGTTTTCACATGGGCCTGACAGAGGGTGGTAGAGCGCCGCCGGTTGGCGGTGGTTTCCACTTAAAATTCTAGTTGAGAGAGACAATTTTGCACTTTGAATTATAACAATTTTTTTCTGAATATATTTATATAAAAAAGTATACAAACATATTTCTTTAGACATAAAGAAACGTATTATATATATATTGGGTGAGTGCAAAAATTCGTGCCTAATTTATTATTCAAAATTCAAACAGCTGCTATTTTTGTTAAAAATAAAATAAAATCTAAATCTTATTCTATCTGATGAGAGAATTTAAGAATCTGTTTTTTTTTTAATTGTGATGGTTTTGACGGAGTTATGAGCAATCAAAGTCAAAATATTCTTTTTATTTAATTCGCAACAACTCGGTAACAAAAAATCGTAAGGACATTTTTTAAAAACGATTTTATAAGGAAAACTTTAAGCTTTTACATTAGAAATTCAAAAACTTTTGCAAATTTTTTGTGGACATGTGACAGGCCCATAAAGTGAAGAAAAAATTTCTCGCTTTAACTCGTAGTTTTCTATATGTAAAAATTATAAAACTCACATAAATTCAAAAAAATATAGTAACCATTCGAAAATAAAGATTTAAAACCCTTTTGTTAAATTGAAATTTTGTTCATTTTTAACAAAATTGCAGCTGTTTGAACTTGGAATAATAAATCGGGCACGAATTTTTGCACTCACCCAATATGTGTGTTATATATTCGCATAATATATAAATTTTTTTATTTTATACATAAAATAATATGCCACAAAATGTAAAGAACAATTGTAAGCATCTCCAGTTTATAGTGTTTTATTTTTATAAAATGCAGATGCTTACAATTGTTCTTTACATTTTTATGATTTTATGTATAAAGTAATACATATATTTAGCTATCAGTTTTGTTCATGAAATGGATTACAATTCACCTTGGATTCCTTCTCTCTTATTATAAATGACCACTTATGAAATGAGTCAGAGTATCAAATCTGAGGCCCGCCAACTATGAGTTGTTCTCGTACAGAGTTACGTGTTATTTTAGTATAGGAATAATAGAAATAATAATAAATGATTTTATTAAGACTGCAATGTGAATACACAACAAGAGTAAGAATATTAAAGCCTATGACGGTCGAAGCTAGATCTTTAATGCTTAAATAATTCAAATGTGAATTATATAATACTATATATGTATATGCATATATACCATATTATACAATAAATTTATTTACAGTTTTTCAGCACATTAACATCTTTCTAATATTCGGCGCGCAGTTTGAATGACTACAAATATGGTACATATGCATGTACATATATAATTCACATTTGAATTATTTAAGCATTAAAGATCTAGCTTCGACCGTCATAGACTTTAATATTCTTAATAATAGAAATATTTATTGTAAAATAAAAATATAAAAAAATTGCATATTTACGATTAATGTTTGTAATTTAGTTGACACTTTGCGATCCCACACAATCTTGTCGCATGAACGTTCCGATATTTATACGACATTGTATAGATATCAAGACATCTATGTGATGAATGATTTGGATGGGATGCTATATGGTTATAAAAAGAATAAAAGGTAATAATTAAGAGGAATTATATAACAGAAAGATGTAATGAAATAGAAAGAATATATGTGACTTTCTACATTTATTAGTATTGATTCATTTTATACAAGATCCATGTTTCTGGAACATCGCTGATAAATCCTGTTTGATTTTCTTAAATATTTCGTTCTCATATATATTCTTTGGTGGATAATTTACGAGGTGTATATTTCTATATCTTCATATATGTGATATATCTTTGAATGATCTTGTACAACCAAGTGAAATTACTTGCGTTTCCCAGCATTATGCATATTTTTCGGTAGACCCAATAATGAGTTTATAAGCTCGGAATTACGTTTGGGATGACACAATCGCGGAGCCACTAGCATCAATCTGGCCAGCTGCAATTCGCTATCCTGAAAAAGATAAACACATTTCTTATGTACATAAATTCGCCTAATGAACCTATTTAATAGTATTATATTATTAATAGTATTATATTATACATAGTATTTCGCTTTTTTAAAGCGTATCGACCGCGACAGTAAGTAGCATTCCGAATCCGAGTCAATATGTAAATTAATAAATTAATTCTCATATCTCATCTTATCGAAGCGTTCAATATAATTTCGAAATATGATAAATACGACACGTATACTAGCAAAATTTTAAGCGCCTCTTTTGATAGCCATTTAGATGGACGGTCATTTACCAATCTTCTGCCGTAGGGAAGATTCAATCCGAGAATGTTCCTGTCGATATCCTCGAGCTCACTGGACTCCTCCTCTCCACCAACGATTCCGATGATAATAGCGACAATGACAGCAAATCTCACGTAGTTAGCCATTGATTTAGATGTCTCTTTAGGAGACGGTAACACGTAGAAAAAGACTTGAAAAATATTAAGGTAATTTAACGTAATTATGAAGAGAGAGAGAGAGAGAGAGAGAGAGAGAAAGGGGGGGAAGGTTAATAAAGCCGTTTTTGGAAGCCCTCTATGAGTTCTATTAAACAATTTTTTTCCACTTTGATGCATCTTAGTAAACAAAAAATATATAATACATATTTGAGTAAAGTATATACGTACTATTTATAATTGTAGAAAGCTTTTAGTGAATTATATTATTATCGATATTATCGATAAGCTGCTGATGGAGAAAAAAGTTTCTAATAGATTTTTTTAAACTGTAGTATTAAAAATCTGCCGTTTAGTTACGTTAGCGACAATGCATAAAGTTAAATAATATCTACTATTTCATCTACATAGCGTAATGAATGCAGATTGCTGTAAAAAATTATTTCATAGCATTTTGTTGTGTTTATTAATAAAATATGTTTCGTAATGCTCGAAAATTTTATTGAAATGAAATAATTGAAATGAACGTAATAATTACTTGGAATAGTCGGAAGTGCCGATCTGCAGGAGACGTTGAAGTGGCAGCGAATGTTGTTCGACGTAGGTACCACGCGAATACGACGTGAATCTGAAGATGCTGTTTCTTTTATACCGAATATCCATTGCCGAGATCTGTTTCTGACAGTCAGATCGTAGGGCGTAGGCCGATGAGAGCTCTAGCTGCGAACGACAGATGTTCTTCGATGAAATTATCGCGGAAATTGTGTTTCGTCTCTTTTATTAAATTATGTAAAAGAAATCCTGCCGAAGCGTACGAATCCTGCATTTGATTACTCGTGACTATTCGGTATAAGTATATCTGCATATTATATATATGTGTATAAAATACGCATCTTGATCCATTTTGTTAATTAATTAAAATTATTTGATGGTATATATATATATATATCCGAAAGGATTTTTGTTTTTTAATTTGGAGTTATGGAAACACGATCCTGAGGAGGAGACTGAAATCAAAGTCGAAAATATAATCGAAACCCAAGGCGCTGCGCCGCGCCGTCGCTGATATACGTGATTAAAAAGATTGAGATGCGCGCTCATTCCACCACATTCCTGTCGGATCTGTTTTCGCTTTTAAACAAAAATTTATTAACCTTTTGAGTGTCCTTTTAAAATTAAAGATATACATTAAAGATTCGCGAATTATATATGTTTCTTATTCTCATTTAAATATTTCTCATTCTCATTTAAATATTAATTGCGGAGCGACATTTTTGTCGCGGAAGCCGCCGAAAGACTCCCCGTCGCGTGTCGCATTCGCCGATAGTTGATTCGCTTTTTTAACAAATTTACACATACGGCAGAACTTCGTTCGTTTATCAAGGCTCGTGATTGCGGCGCGCGTGCCCAAAGCGCCCGCACTCACACCCGCGCCGTCGCGACGAGAGCCAGCTGTACATAAAATATGTATAATCGTTATAAGGAAGAGCAAACAAGCGAGCATTACGCGCGAGCACTTGTCTCGTTGCCACTCGGTGCGCTCCTCACGAATGCAAGTCTCGTCAGGGTCAGTATCGTAGGTATTTAATCTCGGGGAAGATTAAACTTACCTAACGCTTTCTGCACGAGGAAAGCCGACCTCGCGAAGGCTGGCGCGACGATGACTCCCGCTCTCCGTACGTCCTTTCGATACTCGTCAAGATATACGAGTAAATGGCTGGCCGTTCGCATTACTCATTCGACGAACGATACGTATGTCGAGTGGACGAAGGAGAAGGCGAGAGGCACAAAAGAATTGAGATGTGTTGCATAATTAAGTATCTCGGGACAAACGTTCGTCGTGAAGTATACAATTTAGTTCTACATAATAGAAATTAATACGATATGAGATTCCTCGGAACAACGCGCCCGTATAAAATGTCTGGACATTATATGAATGCTCTAGTATCCATATATGTATATATAGTATATATATATATTGCGGAAAGTAGCAGAAAGTCACCGATACTGACACAGGTCTCCTAAAGTGACACCCCCTTATTTCTCAAAAACTAACTATTGCATTTTATTAATATTAATAAAATCATGATCTGTTTAGCTAATTAAAGAAGTACAAACTCATAATTCGTATATTTATAGCTTGTTTCTATATGAAATCAACTAAAAACGAATTCTACGAATGCGAAAATAAAATTCTTACGATTTTCTTTTGCAAATTGCGTGGTTTAAATAATAGTGACTATATTATTAATAATATTACGTCATTTTTTAAATGCTTATAGTTTCCCCTAAATCAGTTCTATTTATATTATTTTTTCTCTTAGTCTTTTCATAATACAATTTTAAATTTGAAATTGGGGTGCAGAGTAAACCGACACACCTGTCTGTAAAACAGACCATTCTTTATATATAAATACGTATTTATTTGACTATAAGCTAACTTAATCTTTATAATGGTGCTTTATAGTGTGAAGGCAATTGTGCATATATGGAAAAATTCTTGAAAAACTTTCGCATTATATATTTGTATCTTGTAGAACAGCATAAAATATATAATTCAATAAAAATGTTTTATAACGAAGTGAAAAAATCCTGGAAAATCTTATATACATTCATTTGTACTTTATACAGATAATGTTTGTAAAATAAAAAAGAATATGAATACGTAGCGTTACTGCCTAGTGTCAGTTTTGGAGCCCATTTTGTCAGACGCTCATTTTTGCTTACCTTACGAAAAAATTAATTATTGCAAAATTGCAAACAGTATTATAAAAACTGCTTATACTATCTAGATAGAAGACACTTTTCAGTTTGTACTTACGTTTTTGAAGTTTTATTTTAATCTTTTGTTTAAGAAATATTGTCTAAAAATAAAGTGGTATGTCGGTATCAACGACTTTCCTCTATATATATATATGTATATAAACTACTTTTCCAATCTATCGTGCGGAAATTAAATAGATAATAAATGAATAACGAATGTTACCTTTAAGGACGATATTTTCACTGACGGTGTGCGTGCGTGCGTGCGTGCGTGCGTGCGTGCGTGTGTGTGATGTGTATGGGCGCGCGTACTTTACAAATTTTACTACTTATATCTTATAAAATTGAAAAACAATTGCAAAAATTAAAGCCTATACGCTGTCCCATTATTGAACTTATTTCTTCACTACAAAAGTAATAAAAATTAATGGTATAATATTTCTATTAAGGCGGATGAGCGGATCACAACCCTTTTCCTTAATCTATCTAGTAACTTTCTCTTTAGATTCAATTATAATCTCTTTAAGCTGCCATAACTTCGATACATGTAGCAAAATGGACCGATAATACTGCACCCTATCCGTTTTTGCTTTTCGTTTTGCAAGAAACTATAATAAGGAGAGAGACGAAATAGAAAAGAGAGCAAAGTGAGTGAAAGCGAGGAGGAAGGACAGATAGATCCAGCAGCTTCGAAATCTCTGACTATTCTCTGGGATAGGTGCAGAGGTCACTAACCAACGACCATAAAACCAGCCTGAAACCGGTGGCATGGCCTTGATTTTACGTTAAGACCCTTCGAAGATCCACGACGAAGGCGTGTTGATCAATGACGAACAGATTAGCCATTTTCGACACCTCCGTGACATTTTCTTCATGATGGTGGAGAGCCTGTCTGAGCGACATGAAGGAAACCACTGCGGAAATTAACTCGTTGTCATTTACGATCCATGTAAATTTAAGTCGAACGAAAAACATCGCGATTAACAAGAGTTCAATGAAATCGGAACAATGACAGTGAGATTAAGCGTCTAAGAGAAAAATTTTCTCTTCTTCTCATTGATCCTTTTGGAAACTTTCCGTAGTGATCGTGTCCGTTTGTAATTGTTTTTAAAGAAATATTTTATGGTCAATTTTTTTGTATTTTATTTATTTGTCACACTCTCGATAAAATTGCTACTATCGTTATTTGCGAGAATCGATTCGAAAATTTTGCCATACCCGTTAGGGAAACGCACGTCGTGCTGCTAATTCAATTTTTGTGTGAATTGTAATTTAGTTATCACCAAATTGTTATCTGTTTTGTAACGTTTAAGCACCTCTTCGTTTTCTCACGATGATTTACGCGACGTTTCGCACCCGCCACGGTCGCTCTTCGTCTTCGGAAACCCGTTTGACTCACATTCGCTTCTGTCAGAAGCCGTTTCGTGACTTTAATGCGTGTCGTGTGGAGAGATGTTTCGCAGATATATATAGAGAATAACATACGACATCCTGTTGCTCAAATACCGCGAAAAATATACAGAATACAGAATCGTCTTTATCGTCACGAGGGCCAATCTATCCTTCGTGTGTTATAATAGCGTTGCCGTGTAACGATTTGTCGCGAAAAATGTCACAAGATAGCTATGCTCGCACTTCTGCCGCGAGATGCATTAATGGCTGATGAGCCGATTATTATGATTATGATATAATCCGTACCGCCCCTCGAACTTGTAACAATAAATAACAGTACTTTTGGCACCGCGTAACTTTTGATTTCGTCCTATTATTTTCCTCAAAACAAAAAGATTACAACATTTGCCACTGGGTTATCTGCAGCCTTCCTTTTTAATTTATAAAAAGTTGCGGCGATAATGCGCGCGCGCGTGTGTATGAGATGTCTGTGCGAAAAAACTATTTTGCTTTGACGTTAATAAGAAATATAATTATGCGAATGTTCATTTCTAAAAAATAAACAGCTATGAATTCATAAAATGCTCTTTATCTTTTTTTTCTTTGAGAAATTAAGAGATTGCTAAGCAATCATTGCTTAGATCACCAATCTGCAAGCAATTTGCCATTGATTTATCGCAGCTTTTAATCGTGAGATACACTACTCGCAATGATATAGCGATTATTTTATGTCATTATAATTATGGGTATTCCATCAAGGAGAGAGAGAGAGAGAGAGAGAGACTAGGGGAGTTTATTTAAATCGGCTCTGCATCGATAATACTCCATCTCATTCATCCATTAATGACCGACGATTACGGAACCCGATTCATATATTCCATTTTTTTCTCGTGTGGGCTTATGACACATAAAATTTATGTATTTCTACGGTATTAACTTCTCTCTCTCTCTCTCTTTCTCTTGCTCGCAGCCTTTTTCTCCATCTTTTTGTTCCGCTAGAAGTGGCATTGAACTCGCACGTAATATTTAAGCACCTCTCCTTCATAATCCGATCCTTCATAATCACGCTCGAGGCGGGTCCGCATGTCGAATCGAGAGACGAAAGAATCGAACGTTGTGCGCGTACGTTCAAACACCTACATCTTTATGTTCAAGTATAGGTATATAGAGATCTATATGGATCAACACACATGGTAATACAATTAATTGACCGGGGATCGCTATATACAATTCAATGTGAATACCGGTCTAATTCCCTGGGAATTACCTTTGTTCTCCTGCAAACGTTTCTCGTCATCGTCAGTCACCGGGTGTTCGCACGTATTTAGAACTTAATTTCTAATGCCAGTAAAGTCGTGAAAACGAACAAGAAGTATAGAGCTCGCCTCTGTATCAGTAGGGCTGTTACTTTTGATAACTTCGAAAATTCAAAGAAGAATTTGAATTTTTGAAGTTAACTTTGAACTGTCTAACTTTAAAATACTTTTGAAGCTCTGAAAAATATATTTGCGCGAATAGAAAAAAATAAAAATATGTT